AAGAAAGAGAAGGAAAGAGGAAAAGAAAGAGAAGGAAAGAAGGAGGGAAAGAAAGAGAGAGAAGGAAAGAAGAAAGAAAAGAGGAAGGAAAGAGAAAGGAAGGGAAGGAAAGAGGGCAAAGATGGGGGAGGGGGGAGGCTCCCCCACCCCCAATCAAGCCTCTGCCACCCCCCGCGGATCCCTCACTTACCCCGGGAGGCGGCAGGGAGCATCTTCTGGCCTCCCCCAGGCCGCAGCGCTCCAGCGCAGGCCCCAGGGAGGCGGTGACGGGCATCCTCTGGCCTCCCTGGGGCCCCAGCGCTCTGGCGCAGGCCCCAGGGAGCTGGCGACGGGCCTCCTGTGGGCCCCCCTGGGGCTGCAGTGCGGGCCCTGGGAGGCCGGCGACAGACCGCAGGGCAAAGAGCTGGGGGCAGGGCTTGCTGCCACTGCCATTTGTGCCAGCTCCTGGGCTCCCAGAGCGGTGCTCCAGCGCGCTCCAGCCCCAAAAGACCCCTGCCTCCCCGTTCCTTGCCCCCCACTGTTCAGAATGCCCCTTGAAATGCTGCTGCTGAGTGATAGGGAACAGCATTGGGGGACACTTTTGGCTGCAGTAAGAGGAGGGGAAATGTGATATAGTCACATTTCACAGGTGGAAGCACTGTTGGACTGTTTGGGGAAACACTGTTGGATTGAAGCCAGACTCACATAAGCAGGTGCTTCTGCAGGTGACAAATGGGCAAAATCAGCAACTGCTTGGACGCATGTGCTTTCTCCATTGTGGCTCCCATCTTATGGAACGGCATGCCTGAGGAGGTCAGGAAAGCTGCTCTCCTGACCTTCTGCAGACTATGCAACTGAACTATCCGAGAGGGCTTTTCTGTGTAGGTAACAGGGTTACTCTGTGCAAAAGGCTGCACAAAGTTACTTGGATAAATGATTGTGAATGTGGTCTCTCTGCTGTGTATAGCTTATTGTTAAGTAGGATCCTACTTATGTAATCTCTTTACCACTTAACATGTGATATTTATACTTATGCTATGCTTCAGTTCTTTTGGTGGTTCCAGACTTCTAAAATCCTAATGCACTGGTTATTGAATGTTCCATTTTGTTGATTGCACAGACTCAATCTGTGTAATCCCCTTGAGTCCCTTTGAGAAAGGCAGAATATAAATAACGTAAATAAAAATAAAACATGCCCCAGTATGAAGCCACTTTCCTGTAGTATAATGTCATGCTATGTGAGCAGACATGTATCTAGCAGACACAATTATGTTGGACTTTCTGTGGGGTGCTGCAGTTCTCACTTAATGACTTGATTCCTGCACATTCTCCAGCAGTGTGGGATCACCCCCCTCTCCCCTGAATAGTTCTTACACAGCTAGGAGTAAAGGGTGCCAATATTTACTTTAACGTATGCAAAATGAACTAGCAGTAAAATAAGGATGAATTTTTCCCATTTGTTGAATTTATTATGAAATAATGGAATTATGCACATGGTTAAGAATTTAGTTGGAAAACACAAAGTGTAGTTTGTACAATAGAGCTGTTTCATATGAGATTAATTCATGGAAATCATTTGCTTGCAGTAAGCTGTATAAATCCTGCCTATAGGCAAGAACACTTCTCTGTTTCACTATATATACTCTTGGAGAAAGCCATGACTGCTAGCAGGATTAATGAAAAATGACTTCTGTATAAGAAATCCTGTGTTGTGTGAAGCTGAGCTGCTTTGAATGGCTATTAAAAAAGATGTTAACACCATTTTACACATAGGCTTCTGTCAACTTTGCAACAACAAAAAAAGTCAGCTTAAACCTTGCCATTCACAGCATGCCACTTCTGTCTAGGTAAGATGGCCATCCCTGTTCTTTGGGAATTTTTGCAGAAATATCCTTCACCTGGAGTAGCAAGAACTGCTGACTGCAAGGAAATGTCACAGCTGCTTAAACCTCTTGGACTATATGAACTCAGAGCAAAGACCATTATCAAATTTTCAGGTATTTTCTCCCAAACTTGTTAATAATAATAATAGCACTTAGAATTTATATACTGTGGTGGGTTGTCCAGAGTACTTTGCATACATTATCTCATTAATCTTTACTTTCACCCCATAAAATTACTTACTTACCCCCATAAAATTTCACCCCATAAAATTACTTACAAAACTTTACCCCGCCTTTCTGCCTTTATAAAAGGCCATCAAGATGGCTAACAAAACATACATAACAGAATCTCATCTTAAAAGCTGTTAAATCCAACAAAAACACTTAAAAAAAACCGTGGCTAAAATATAAAACATAAAAATAACAAAACGGGCAAGAGATCATTGAGGGAATGCCAAAGGAACCAAAGTCTTTACTTTTGTCATCCCTGTAATAGAAATGGGAGGCCAAGAGTGAGAGATGTTATTTACCTAAAGCCACTGAATGCTGCAGTTCTCCTTGAAATTATTTCAATCTAAGCCCACTAAGTTCAGCTCAGTACAAGATCCCACTGGAACTCCTGAATGAGGCAACTTTTGCTGACTTCTTAGTTCACGTGATGAGCCGAAGTCCTTCACTGGCTGTTAAGCGCAGGGCAAGGATCCCAGATATCATGTCCATGGGGTCCCTGGTGCCCACCAAGGGTTTTCAGAAAGTGGGCAGGGCAAGGTGGCACTTTTGCCCAGCAGGGCTTCTTATTAGCCACTGAAGATGATTGTCTTTGCAGATTTTTAAAACATTACAGGGATATTCACTGTGTGACCGAAGATAAGCTGTTTATATGTAAGAAAATATTTTTAAAACAATATGTTCATTTTAAAAGGCATCCTGCTATATAGCTTCTGCCTTGAAATACTGAAGAGTTACTATTAAGAATTATCACTCACCTCACACCCTGACATTTTCTGCTTGTCTCTGCCTCCTGTGACAGGCATTTTCAGTTGACTCTGCCTCCTACAGCATTTCTCATTAGCTCTGCCTTCAGTGGTGGCTATTTTGTGGATCCTGTGTCACAATTCCAAAGGTGCCCATAGGCTCAAAAAGGTTCGGGGGCCCTGGTGTCAGGTGTGATTGACAAACAAGTCCCACGTACAACTCCACACTGTTCGATTCGCTTGGGGGGGGGGGGGGGGGGAAGGACTCTCCAAAATCTGTATTTACATTCACAGTATTAAAAAAAGTGGGGATTTGAAATCAATATACCGTGTTTTCCCAAAAATAAGACACTGTCTTATATTTATTTTTTCTCAAAAAGACACACTAGGGCTTATACCACAAATGCATAGAAATCCTGCTAGGGCTTATTTTGGGGGTAGGGCTTATTTTCGGGGAAACGGTATATGTTCCTCCCAGATATCATTTAAGAAAATAAAACAGACCTGAGTTTCTGAAAGCATTCCTGTAGAAATTCCAGTTAAAGCATGCTAAAAGCAAATAATGTGGGGGAAGTGAAAAGAAACTGCAGTGTATTATGCATGGGAAGGAAATACATGCATGACCTGTGGATTGCTGCCCTAAATAGAATAGATATTAATAGGAAGAGATCTCATAATGGCAGCCATGGCCCCACATTTTGCCACGTTCTAGGTGTTTGTGTTCTTACTGCACAGAAATGAAGTACTCCAGCATCTGTATGGATGTATTTACTTCAGCTAATGCCATTAGAAGTTCATAAAACATTTTCCTTTCTTGTTTAACCACAGTGCTAACAGTGTGATTCCCTGTCATTACCAACATTTTGTATGTCTGTGGGTTTTTAAAGAAAAAGTCTATTGTAGATCCTAGTTTATTCATATTAGTGTTTACGAATGTAAAAACCAATAGATCTCAATGGAATAATTAACAAGCTTTTTCATATGTTGTGGGCTTTTGTTCCCTAGATGAATATTTGACCAAACAATGGAAGTATCCTATTGAGTTGCATGGAATCGGAAAATATGGAAATGATTCTTACAGGATATTCTGTGTCAATGAATGGAAAGAGGTAAGGTACACTTACGTGCTGGAAAAGACAATAGTGCTAGAAAAAGGTGGTGAAGGCAGCAGGAAAAGAGGAAGACCCAACATGAGATGGATTGACTCAGTCAAGAAAGCCACAGCCCTCAGTTGCCCTCTATCCAAGAGACTTTGTTTATTGCCCACAGTTGTTTAATATACCACCTGCCTTTTGTTTTGCTGAATGAATCAGCTAAATCACACAGTAAGATAGAAATCTGGCTTTACAATACGGTCTCAGAATTCTTGGGGTTTCTGGTTTCTTGTGAAACTGCAGGACACTCAAGGCTGTGTTCTGTATTTGTATTTATTTTCTTGCAATATTAGTTTTATTTTGGCCTATTATGATTTCTTCTATTTGTGTCATTTGTCTTTTTGTTTCAGATAAGGCTGTCCTTGAGCCTTCTGGCAGGTGATTAGTTGAGAGTGGGTTTTACAATACATCAGGATCCTAACAGTAGCCCTATAGCAGGTGTCAAATTCATTAGTTACAAGGGCCAGATCAGACATAAATGTCACTTTGTCAGGCCAGGCCATGTGTGCCATAAAATGTAACACGAGGTACCAGAGATATAAACTTTATAAAGATGATTTCAGATGCCTAATGACAATAGCAGGCTTGATTGGATTAGGTGATATGCAGAGGGGTAGGAGGCATGGAGATATCAGCAGTGGTAATGAGACAGGATACCTAGCTCTCAGTTTGGTCCAGGAGGGTTCAGTCCAGGAGGATGCAAAGAATAAACAGAAATAAGTCTAAAGAAGTGAGCAGTGACTCATGAAAGCTCATACCCTACCACAAATGTTATTAGTCTTTAATATGCTACTGGAGTGGACTCTTACTCTTTCTAGTGCTATTAGTAACCACAGCATTCAGAAACCACTGGGGGAACATTTTAAACTTCCAAGACATTCAGTTGCTGACCTAAGAGTAGCCATTCTCTTACAAAGGCATTTCAAAGGGAGATTAGAAAGACTGCTGAATTTATCTGATAATGAAGCTAAAGACGATGCATCCTCCTAGACCAGGGGTGGCCAAACTTGCTTAACGTAAGAGCCACAGAGAATAAATGTCAGATGTTTGAGGGCTGCAAGACATGAACAAATATTACACATTTTTACTGGGAAATGTGCAAATTTGTTTTTTATTAACATTAAATGAGACTGCCAAAAATAATAACAAAAGCGGTAAAAGCAGATATTGATAATTATATTTATTTGTCCAATGATAATTTAAATAATAAATAATAATAATCTTTCAATTTATTAATCGCTTAATCCTGCAGAGCTTGCTGGCTCTGAGTGATTTACAGTTACTCATTCAACGGGGGACTAACAATGATTTATGGGGATAAGGGAGGACAACATATATCTTTTTTTAAAAAATCACACACTTCACAGTCGGCGAGGGTTTGTTCAGCTGCAGGTCAGATGTATTCCGTCGGCATATTCACTTTAGCTTGGCTAGATGACGTCAGCTTCTCCAGGTCTTGCAGCGCCGCACTGCCACCGCCTGGCCGGACTGGCCCATTACAGGCTTCGGAGTCGAATAGATTTTTCTTCAGGCTTACAATCTCGCGAGCTGAGCATTCCGGTCGCCGGCTAACACCACCCCCACCGGGGGGGTCTTTGGTGTGCCCACCCTCTCTAAGGGGTGGTACCCATTTTATCTACTCGCTGAAGCTTTTGAACCGCTGGGTGGACGGCAAGCTAGGGACAAGGCTGGTAGCTCACACCAGCACGGGGCTAGAACTGCCGTACTGTTCAGCTCAGATGTTACTAACCAGAGGATAAATCCTCTGTGCCACCGCTCCCAGATTTGTTTGCTAATGATATTTAGCTTCCCCAGCCACCCTGCCGGGAGCCGCACAATATGTGTGAAAAAGCCACATGCGGTTCCCAAGCCACAGTTTGGCCACCCTTATCCTAGACTGAATTGAGACCTGGGTTTCTCCTCAGTACCAATGGCTGCTATTTGGTACTTCAGACTCCAAGATATAAGGACAGATGGGCTCACATTCTAGCTGTATGTGAACTGAGTAGTGATTCATGAAAGCTCATGCCCTGCCACAAATTTTGTTCGTTGTTAAGGTGCTGCTGGACTCTTGCTCCCTTCCATTAATAAAAACTGCAAGCTGTGCTGTTTGGTTCCCCCCCCCCCGCCGTTGGAACTGGAAAGGGGGGTTTCTTCTTCTCCTCGGGGGCTCTCTCTCTCTCTCTCTCTCTCTCTCTCTCTCTCTCTCTCTCTCTGGCTCTTTTCCTCTCCCTCCCTCCCTTCCTCTCTGAAAAGGTCTGCACACATGCGAAAGCTTATACCTGGAATAAAACTTTGTTGGTCTTAAAGGTGCCACGGGACTCCCCCTCCTCTCCATACTGGACTCTTGCTCCCTTCCACTGATAAAGATTGCAAGCTGTGCTGTTAGGTTTCTTCCCCCTCCCCCGTCTATTAGAACCAGTAAGGGCAACCTCTCTCTCTTTCTCTCTCTCTGGCTCTCTCACTCCCCCTCCTTCCCTCTCTCTGAAGAAGTGTGCTTGCACAGGAAAGCTTATGCCTGGAATAAACCTTCATTGGTCTTAAAGGTGTCATGGGACTCTGTCTCTCTCTCTCCCTCCCTCCCCAGAAGAGGGGGAGGAGCACTCAGCCAATTGAGGGAAGGGAGGGTTGGCTTTCTTTCTCTCCTCTGTGAAGCAGGAGAAGAGTTGGGCAAAAGTAAGCTGTGATGCAGAAAGTAGACAAGAGCCAGTTGCTTGTGGGCCAGATAGGAGCCCTGCAGAGGCCGGCTCTGTCCCACATTTGACAGACCTGCCCTACAGTTTGCTCTTGTGCATGTTTTCTAAGAAGTCCAACTTTGTTCAGTAGGACTTACTTCCAAATAGATATGCATCCATAAGCTACAAAATAAATGTCAGTTGAATGTTTATTTACTCTAAACACACATACAAATGTTGTATTTCTTAACTAAAGTTATTATGTCTTGATTCCTTTCAGGTACAGCCACAAGACCATAAACTGAATATTTATCATGCTTGGCTTTGGGCAAACCATGAGAAACTGAACCTTAATTAACAGCTTTGTACAAAAACACCTTTCTTGGTGTTTAATGTTTGTTCTTTCTGCAGTCCCTCTGGTTACCATCTTTTTATATCTTTGTAACTTTGAACAAGTACAGTGTTTAAACTCGTCGTAATTAAAGGTGATTAAAACATTTTAAAAATACATTAAAACTGAGTCATATTGGTTTCCAGTTTTGGCGCTCACCATGACGGTCGCTCTCCTGGACCTCCAGGAGACGATTGCCAGAATCCGTGGCAAGGAGTGGGTGCGATTGTCCGCACTCCCCACAGAATCCTTGTGAGGGGTTCTAAGCCACGGGGCGCTAGATCGCTGCTCCTCCGGCAACAAAGCCGGCAAGAGGGGGGGCTATCCATGCCCTGACGGTCCTGCTACAGAGTTTCCAGATGGAACTAGAAGCGCACACCGGATCAAGCGCCGGGTGAACTAGTGACTTTGCAACTTAAGCGACATGGAAAGCGTATAACCATTGAACTGTGAGTTAAGGTGAAGTGAGAACTTCAAAAAGAGCCAAAAGCCGCCCCACGGGAAGCAAGGGGGGGAGGGGACTCCACTCCGTTAAGACAAACTAAAAGCAAACTCAATCGTAAAGGCGGGGGGGCAGGCTTTTAAAGCAAAACAAAGACTAAACAACATATTGCTGAACAAGTTCTTAATGTAATAAATATAACAATACAGATGTTATTTTGATTGTTGTTTTGTTTCAACAGATGACTACATCAAGAGACTAAAGTCTGAATGCAGGCAGGACGAACTTTCCCAGGCTTGACTGTCCGTTTCGACTTTTCGTCTTTATCAAACGTCCTATCAAAAATAAAACAATTTGATAGTGGGGGAAGCCAACTCTAAAGGAAGTCCATTTGCAATATTTCTCAATAAAAGTTTTTTTGATACATACAGTTTGTAGAAGTCTATCTTCAATACATAATTTTCACCAATATGTGCAAGTATTCTATTATGTTGGTAAGATGTCTTTCTATTATGTCTGTGATCATAAGGATTCTTGTAAATGTAAAAGATATATATTTTTGTATCATTGTCTGGAGTGTATAAATTGGTAATTATGATATTGGTATATATTATTATCTCACTTAATGTATTTATATTTATATTTATACTTATAGTCTCTTGATGTATTCATCTGTTGAAACAAAACAACAATCAAAATAACATCTGTATTGTTATATTTATTACATTAAGAACTTGTTCAGCAATATGTTGTTTGTCTTTGCTATGTAAATTGCTGGGTCCTATTCTTTTAGTTTTAAAGCAAAACAGACTGAATTAAAAGATGTCTAAGAACTTACCAAGCGTAACAGAACTTCAGAGACTGATAACTTTTGATTAAAAGTAAACAATTCCTCAAAAATGGCACCTCCCTTGAAGAAAGACGAAAAGGAGAAGATAATGAAAGCTAAGTTCACCGGAAGTGCCAGCCCAGTGAGTGTTGTGCCCAGACAGGACATAAACGCAGACCTTCAAAGGATATTAAGTGAGGCATTGCGCCCTCTACTGGAACAAGTGACGGAAATAAATCGAAAGCTGGATACAGAGCAAACTCAAATCAACGAGACTGTCAAAAAAATTGATCAAATAGACTTGCAACTTAAAGAAGTAGACACCAACACCAAAAAGCTGCAAAAACAAATGCAGACAATGGAGAAGAAGTGACAAATAGACGAGTCACAACTACTATAGCTACAAATGGAAAAGGCAAGCTATGTCCTAAGATTCCAGGGAATTCCTGAGGAAAAAGGGGAAAATCTCACTAAGCTAATGTGTGAAGCATTGGAACAAATGGCAGAAATTGAAGCGGATACTTTACAAAATGACATTGATATGGTCTATAGATCATATACAGAATACATAAGGAATAACAATCTGCCAGGAGAAGTGATGGTGAGATTCTCCAGAAGAAATGTCAGAGATAAAATTCTTAAAGCGGCCAGTGGAGTTACCCTGAAAATCAAGGGCAAAGAGATTAAGGTGTGAAAGGACATACCATTTGAAATAAAGAAGAAAAGGCGTAAATATAAAGACTTGGTCACATTCTTACAAAAGAAACAAATTGTCTACTGATGGATTTTTCCCGAAGGGGTCATTTTTAAGTTTGCAAATGGAAAAGAAAAAATTGACACCCTGGAAAAAGCAAATGAATTCCTGCACCTGCACGGTTGTCCAACAGATGGGAATGAAGAAGAAGACAAAGGCAGTCCTGAGAAGGAAGATGGAGATGGAGTAGAGCCATCTTCTGGTGAAGAATCAGACTCAAATTTAGGGGCTGCGGCCCCAAAACGAGGCTACAGATTGAGGAAGCCAAAAAATAAAAAATGATTTGTTATTATAACTCTGAAGTTTAAATAATGTTTAAAATAAGATTTCTTAGACTCTTTAAAAAGTCATAATAGACGATGTTCAAGTTGAAGCGGAAGTTTGAAAGATGATTAACATGTTCAATGAATTTATATGAATATTTAGCTATATAAGCTTGTAATCTTGTTAAAGCAGTTTGTATGACACCGACTCTTTTATTTATTTATTTATTTATTAGATTTTTATCCCGCCCTCCCGCCAAAGCGGCTCAGGGCGGCTTACAACAATTAAAAACCAGTAAAGATTAATGCAGTACATCTAAAAATAATCAATAAAACAGTCAATATAACTTATTAACAATAAAATTACAATTAGAGCATTACAATTTGCACATGGCGGCCATCCATATAAAGTGCTAGAGTGTTTGATCTGGGCTGTTAAACGCTTGGCGGAATAGCTCAGTCTTTACCGCTCTGCGGAATTGGTGGAGAGCTGATTCCACCATACTGGTGCAGCTAAGGAAAACGCCCTGGTTCTCGTCGCTGTTAACTTAGCGTCCCTAGGCCCAGGGGGGACTAAGCGATTCTGCGATTCAGATCTCAGTGCTCTTGGGGGAACGTACGGGGAAAGGCGGTCCCGCAGGTAGGCCCCAGACCATAAAGGGCTTTAAAGGTCATAACCAGCACCTTGAAGCGTATCTGGAACGCTATTGGCAGCCAGTGCAGCGACCTCAGCAAAGGTTGGATGTGCTCTCTCACAGGGAGACCCATCAACAACCTGGCTGCGGCGTTCTGCACCAGCTGCAGCTTCCGAAGTTGCCCCAAGGGCAGCCCCATGTAGAGAGCATTGCAGTAATCCAACCTCGAGGTCTCCTGACCCTCGGAGCTGGCACCAATGGCACCCCACCGAAGGCCGGACGTGGGACCCTTACCCCCGTACCACTCCGATTCAGGCATAGGACCTCCGTCTTCGTCGGATTCAGTTTCAGTCGACTCAGCCTAAGCCAGTCCGCTACGTCCCGCAGCGCTCGGTCCAGATCTTCCGGGTTAGAGCCAGACTGACTGCCCAACAACACATAGAGCTGGGTGTCATCCGCATATTGATGACACCCCAGCCCATGTCTCTGGGCAATCTGGGCAAGGGGACGCATATAGATGTTAAACAACATTGGTGAGAGAACAGCTCCTTGAGGCACTCCACAAACTAGTGGGTGTCTCCGGGACAGACTCTCCCCGAGCGCCACCCTTTGTCCCCGACCTTGGAGGAAGGAGACAAGCCATTGCAAGGCAAGCCCCCGAATCCCCACGTCGGCGAGGCGGTGGGCGAGCAACTGGGGATTGACCATGTCGAACGCCGCCGACAGGTCCAACAGCAGGAGCACCGCTGTCCCGCCCCGATCCAGATGCCTTCGGAGATCATCTGTGAGGGCCACCAGTGCTGTCTCAGTTCCGTGGCCCGGGCGGAAGCCGGACTGAAATGGATCCAGCGTGGAGGTGTCATCCAGAAAGGGCTGCAACTGTATCGCCACCGCCCTCTCTTGGGTTTTTAGAGGTTTCCTTACTTTATCCTATAGTGTGTAGTCCCTTTCCCTTTTTTTCATGTAGTGTTTAGTTTTAGAAAATGCAATTAAAAAATCCCCTTCGGGGGGCCAAAAAACAAAACAAAAAAAACCTGAGTCATATTTTAAATTATTCAGTCCTTCAGCTATGCACATATGTATGTGTTTAGTCTTGCTGGAATGCAATTCTTGCTATGAAACTTTGAAGTATCATCTACGTGCATCTACAATGGATGCAGTTTATATACCACAAGCCATATGGCATATAATCGTAGAGCTATAAATCCAAAAAGATATGAATGTGACCAATTGTCTAAATACAGCACCTCATTGCCTTATACACCTCTTGGGTTCTTGCCCCTGCCAAGTCACACTGATTGGCTGGTGTAATTGTCCACCCACAGCTTTACGGCCAAACTAGATGTGACGACGTCCTCATGGCTGCCATAAGAATGCCATCAGCATTTAAAACTGCTTTTAAAATGCTGCAAGGACTGAATCCTGATTGGGCCTACAGGGTAGCACTAGTTTCTCGCCCTGCACCTTTTCAAGTGCTGAAACAGCTGTACCGGCGGGGGTGTGTGTGCTAAAATGCCAAATCCCTTTAAAATAGTGACATCCTTGCGGCAGCTGCAAGAACATCGTTATGTTTAGTCTGGCCCTCAATCAAGATCTTGAGAGCATGATTTGAACAGGTACTGAAAAGGAAAGCTTAAAAAATTAGTGTGTAGTGGACAGGGTTGCCAACAAGCCTGAAGAAAGTTCTGTCCCTTTAAAAGAGGCTTAGTTTGTGGAAATGATCTGTTGTGAAATTAGGGCCTAGGTTGAGCCTCAGTCCTCTGTCAAACCTATGATACTTTAATTTCTATAGTAATTTGCCTCTATAGTTGAATCTTTGGTTCTGTTTCCAGGAGGCTACAGGACTCTGTTGGTGCTGTGGCCTTCTGGTATCAATAACTCTGTACGTGACTTTTGCCTTAGATGATGTTTATACGTTCCAGAAGTCAGTGGTGTCGCTATCAGAATCAAAATTGATAGGGTATCTCAAACTAGTTTCCTTGATTCTCCTTGACTTTCTGAGAGCTTCCTAACCCCAGAAATAGAGAGAAGGGAGAGGGATTTGGGTTGATACATCAGGTCAGTTCTAGTTTGGCCTGCGTCGCATTGACAGTAGTAGCAGTCAGCACGTTAGCAGCTATAGGTCCAAGAAATATATATGGTTGGGGGCTGGCCATCAACAAACTCCATGTGAGACCTTGGTGGCTAATCCAGAACGTTCTGAGTTTTTTACAAGTGCACTATTTTATGTATTGGGTTTGTGTTGGAATATTCTCCGTTGAATATTGAAATGCTACAAAGTGTTTTCTGTTTTAAGAGTGTATAATGGAATAAACTGAGCTTTGTTTAAGAACCATTCTCTCTCTCTCTCTCTCTCTCTCTCTCTCTCTCTCTCTCTCTCTCTATCTATATATATATACACACACACACACTAGTGTGTATATATATATATATACACACACACACACACACACACACTAGTATATATAAGGGAGCACTCACTGGAGAAGACCCTGATGCTGGGAAAGATTGAAGGTCAAAGAAGACGGGGACGGCAAAGGATGAGATGGTTGGACAGTGTCATCGATTCAACAAACATGAAACTGAGCAAACTTCAGAGGACAGTGGAAGACAGGAGGGCCGTTTATTTTTAAGTGCAAAACTGGAAATGGGTAGCTTTACAAAGGAAAAGGGAATATGCATGCCTTCCAAAGGGCTAATGTTGTATTTTTATCGTTTATTATGGTTCAAGCATAAAAAAAGGATTCTCCCGACTTGCCACATGAGGGGGCACTGCCCATCCTACAACTTCCTTCTGTAGGCCAGACACGTCTTTTCCCCCACCCCACCCGGGAGGAGCCACAGAACTCTCCCCTCTGCCATTTTCCTACAGTTCAGTACAACTAAAAGCAGATCCTGGAGACTTCAATAGCTCCTCTCTGCTGCTGTTTTTAAGGAAAACCCCTCATGGGTGGATTGGTTTTTGTTTTAAAGCGTGGGAAATAATCCTACCCTTACATGGAGTGACACCATTCTCAACAGCGGGCAACGCACCTATTGACTCGCATCCTGGCAAAAGCCCTCAACAGGTCACTGCCGTGCCATTACGCCACTCTGCGCGCCTAACCAAGCTACAGTCGGAGTCTGCCAGTCCCTGCGTGACTGTCGCCGGCGGCCTGGCTTGATGGACCTCGGCCCCGTCCGCTCTTGTGCCTCTCAGCCAATCAGGTGCGAGGGAACGCGTCTGTTGCCTTGGTGACCGGGGAAAAGCAACTTTGCCTTGGATCCCGTCTGTGCAAGAACTGGGCGGCGCTGCCGGCTGTTGAGTTTTTGTGGGATCGCTGGGGGAGGGTTTTTTTGGGGGGGCTTGTTGGTGTTGACGCCTTTGCAACGGGGCGAGGGCGTTCTTAGGCAGGATGAGGCACGAGGCAGGGCCATCTTCTGCAAAGCTCTTTGCAGAATTTTTCTAAAGCAGCCTCGTGCCTTCCACAAAGTTAGTTTCGATGGAGCAAATTAATTGGCTATCAGAGAGCAAAACTAAATGGAGCTCCCTGACCATTACGGCGGCGTACTCTACGCCTAGTACTCTGCCGTAACAGAATGGTTTGTAGGAAGTAATGAAAACGCCCGCCTCGTTCGGTTTGCCTTAGATCGCGCTCTAGAAACTGCGTGTCGGCTCATAGTTAATAGTGTACAATTGGCGCTTTCTGATGATTAGGTTGGGATTGTTGCCCAATCGGTTGCTGACATAAAGAAGGCGATGAACGTTTCTGATAGCATCCGTTTTGGCAAAAAAGACTGCAGTTCCTGAAAATCAAGCGCCTTTTCAGATACGATTTCTGGGTTTCTAAAATCCTAACATGTTAAAATGTACACACACACACCCAGCCAAAATACTTTAAAAATGGCAATATATCACTGCTTACATTAATCAATTGCGATTTTCATAGGATCTCTTCACTGAATTTAGGTAATATCGTACGAAATGCTATTCTGACTGACCATGATTTCTAGTCCAATAAATAATAACTTTCGCGGGGGGACATGACAAATCATAAGTGCTCCTTCTCTCACTTAATTCAGTCACACAATTTCCACCTCTTTAAAGATGACTGATGGAACTGACTTTGAGTTTTTCCCACCTCTCCCATCACTTCTCAGTGACAGCAACATCATGTCTGAGGAGTCTCTTAAGGAAAGTTCCGAGCCGGACCTGGACGGGTACATACAGCACTGCTTTAAACGCTACAAGTTCATAGAGAGGCATCCAAATGCTTTCTTGAAGCTGAAACCAAGTCGATTTGGCCCAGCTCCGCCTCGACGTCGCATTCTGGTTGCCCCGCCTATGCAAGGGGCATCTCTTCCCAGAGCCAAACCGCTGTTACCTGAGCCCTTGGATCAAAAGCAGGAAACGTTTGTTGTCAAAGAACAGCTTAAGGAAGCTCCTAAGATTCCTACAGAGGAAGACGAAGTACGAGAACTGGGAGCTTGGATTGAAGAGAGGAAGAAGTTGCAGAATCTGCTGAACAAATGTGCCGATGTTGAGTCGTGGCTGATGGGGAAAGAATCCAGCAGCGAGCAGGAAGCCAATGTGCTGAGAAAAATCCGGGAGTCCAGAGTAGCGAAGAAGACCCAGGTGAAAGCCCAGCTAGCTGCTACCAGCAGCATTGAGGTAAGCACAGCACGTTTCACAACCTTGTGGGCACCCCATGAAATTGCTGAGCGGTCGGGTTAGAACGGATAAAAGGAAGTACTTCTTCACCCAAAGAGTGATCAACACATGGAATTCACTGCCACAGGAGGTGGCGGCGGCTACAAGCATGGACAGCTTCAAGAGGGAATTAGATAAGCATATGGAGCATAAGAACATAAGAACATAAGAGACGCCAATGTTGGATCAGGCCAAAGGCCCATCCAGTCCAACACTCTGTGTCACACAGTGGCCAGAAATACCAGTGCCATCAGGAGGTCCAGCAGTGGGGCCAGGACATTAGAAGCCCTCCCACTGTTGACCCCCCCCCCAAGCACCAAGAAGACAGAGCATCACTTGCCCCAGAGCCCCTAGCTATACCTTGTGGCTAATAGCCACTGATGGACCTCTGCTCCATATGCTTATCTAATTCCCTTTTGAAGCCGTCCATGCTTGTAGCACCCACCACTTCCTGTGGCAGTGAAGTGGAGGTCCATCAGTGGCTATTAGCCACAAGGTATAGATAGGAACTCTCACTCTGGGGCAGGTGATGCTCTGTATTCTTGGTGCTTGTGTGTGGGGGGGGAGAACAGTGGGAGGGCTTCTAGTGTCCTGGCCCAACTGGTGGACCTCCTGATGGCACCTGGTATTTTGGCCACTGTGTGACAGAGTGTTGGACTGGATGGGCCATTGGCCTGATCCAACACTGGCTTCTCTTATGTTCTTCTTAACCTCCATCATTTGGATTGGCTTGCCAGCACTCATTCAACCAGCCCGTCCTCTCGGCTGGTCTTGGAATGGGTCAGGCGAAATCTAGAGAAGCGGAAGCTTCATAACCACTTTTGGGAACCTCTGCGTGGTTGAAGAGCAGAGCTAAAACCAGAGTTCACATCTTTCAGAACTCAGAAGCAACTTGAAAATTGTTCATCAGTACCTCATTCAGGTAAAGCCAGAGCCAGGGCTTTTCTATGTTGTCATTTTCCTGACTTGTGTGTTCCCGTTGCCCTGCGGGGAAGGAGTCCATTCCGCTCCCTCTAGTGGTTGATTAGATATTACATCACTTCATGTCTAGCATAAAAACCTGCAGTTTAAATCCGCAGGGAGATATGCTGGTTATAAAGTGATGTAATATCAAATTGACCACTAGAGGGAGCCAAGCACGTGTGGAACAGACCCCCCCCCCAAGCAACAGGAACTCACAAGTGAGGAAAATGAGAATGCAGAAAAATACCCGTTTTCCTTACCACAAGGAGATGGGGGGAAAGCAACAGAATCTTCATTGATTCCAGTGCAAAGATTTGGGAAACAGAAAATATGTTTCTGGAGACTGGGCCTTAAAAGGGTAGATTATATTATTTCCCTGTTATGGCTCTCCCCCCCCCCCCCCATCTAGTTGCTTCTGATTTGTCTGATGCTGGGATAACATTGTCCAGGTCCCTTGAATTGTTCTGATGTCTTTCAGCAAATACTGCCAGTGAGGAAGCCGAAGAGAATCATGCCTCTCATCAAATCTCCCTATCCAGAGTCTCTCATTACCCTGCAAAATCTTCTGCACAAACAAAAACTCAAGCTAGTGGACATATTCAACAAAGAAGATCGGACCAAGACCATGAAGTTCAAAAGAGCAGACTTCATCAGAGTTATCGAAGGGGTAGGTAGGAAAGTCTACTCATAAAAGGTGCCCCTGGTTACAGATATGCAAATACAGGGATTCCCTGAAAGCAAAATAAGAAAAGGTAAATCATTAAGGCGCTAATAAGGCCATCCTAAGCACAGTTACACTCTTCTGAGGTCGTTGATTGCAATGGCCGAATAACAGTTTGTCAGTCTTCTCTTTCAGCTTTTCTCTCTTTATTGGCTAAAGAAGCTCTGGCAATGATTTTATTCCATAGGCAGTGAAGTCATGTGAGTGGAAAAGCGGGAACTATCTTTCTCCAGCTGCAAGGTAGAGCATCTTTGTGACTAGCACTTGTATGCAGCCCCTGTTGAGGCACTATCTATCTATCTATCTATCTATCTATCTATCTATCTATCTATCTATCTATCTATCTATCTATCTATCTGGCTTATAGCCCACCCTCCCCTGCGCAGCAAGGCTCAGGGCAGGTAACAATAACATTAAAAATAATATCATAGATTAGTTGTCAAAAACAGTGATCACGATAGTAAATTAAGATAAAATCAGATGGCAATACAAGGCATAACATAACATAATTTATCCAAAGTGAGGTTGTACGTGGAGTGTGTTGATGGAAAAGCTGGTACAATGACAGGATAGATGGCGGAGAAGGGGCTGGGGGAGGCCAATTCAGACGGAACTTCGCTGCCTCAACTGTGGGCCTGGCAGAACATTTCTGTCTTGCAGGCCCTGCAGAACGGCATCAAATTCCACAGGGCCTGGAAGCATTCCCACCAGGCTGAGGCCAGAGCCAAGAAGGCTCTGTCTGAGGTTGAGGCTAAACAAATACTTTCCAGGCCAGGAGCCTGCAGAAGGTTATTGTCCATAGAGCGCAATCCTCTTTGGGGGACATACCAGGAGAGGTAGTTGCTCTTGCATGAATGGAAGACCGTTTCCTCTCATATTCATTGCATACCGGATCAGGACATGCATATGCTGTCACAACACCCATTTGCACCCACTGGTGCACCTAAGAATGCACTTGGGGGAAACGGCTTCCATCTACACCCATGTGAACTCAGGGCACATGTGCATGCCTGGAGGTGATTCAGGGCCATGGCATACATTTGTGGCTCCTATTCAGAGGAAGTTTCCATGTAAGAAACTATTACTTGTGGAGTGTCCCTCCCTCAGTCTGATAGGTGATCAGTTGTTGTTCAGTCGCACAGTCGAGTCCGACTCTTCGCGACCCCATGGACCAGATCACGCCAGGCCTTCCGGTCTTCCGCCGTCCTCTGAAGTTTGCTCAACTTCATGTTCATTGCATCGATGACACTGTCTAACCATCTCATCCTTTGCTGTCCCCGTCTTCTTTGACCTTCAGTCTTTCCCAGCATCAGGGTCTTCTCCAGTGAGTGCTCCCTTCTCATTGGGTGGCCAAAGTATTTGAGCTTCAGTTTCATTATCTGGCCTTCCAGGGAACAGTCAGGGTGCTCAGACTTGATTGCAATTTCATTTTTTTTCTTTGGTTCCAGACCAAGGTACCCATCAGTAGAAATGACTTGGAGGATGCGATCATCTACCTCACGTCTACAAAGAGAGGCAATTATATAACCAACAGTGATCTGGTGGAATGTCAGAAAGTATGGATGGACTACCTAAGGGAGCAATGGAAACATGCCAAAGAAGCCAAGCCAGGGGAGGAAAGAGTAGTGCTGGAGCGTAAGTTCTCCTGACATCATTAGCCTCAGCTTGTTCGTCGTTTCATTTGGTGATGGTTGTAATAAGGGGGACTCTGGGGGTTCTTCTAGACTGACTTGAAAAAGATGTGGTGTCCCAGGACAAGAAGACACTCCCGTGTGTAGCTTAATACAACACAGGGTATGGGCTGGATGAGGGTGAACACGCTGAAACTCAATTCTGACAGGGTTAGCAGAAAGGCAGACTAGGGACTTGAGATCTCCCCTGTTTTGGATGTGATTGCCCTCCCCCCCCCCCTTGAAAAGTTAGGTTCGTAGCTTGGGAGTGCTGCTCTACACAGCCTTAGAAAATCGGGTGGCTACTGTGGCTCAGAGTGCTTTCACTCAGCCTCGGCTGGCATGCCAGCTGCGTCTGTTCATGGCTATGTCTGCCCTAGCCACAAGCAATCCAGGCCTTAGTTACATCTAAACTGACTACTGCAATGTGCTCTACTTGGGGCTATCCTTGAAGAGTGTTGGGAAGTTGCAGTTAGTGCAGAATGCTGCAGCTAGACCACTGGTCAGGGCCAGCTATTAGGAACATATGTCCCCAATATTGCAGCAGTTACAATTCTGGTCTGCTCCCAAGCCCAATTCGAGGTGTTGTTCTTGACCTTTAGAGCTCCCATGGTTTGGGATTAGGGTATCTGAAGGACTGTCTTCTCCCATGCATTCCTACCTTGGAACTAAGATCACAGGGAGGGGCCCTGCTGACTGTCCCATTGACCAAAGAAGCTAATTTGGTGGGTACATGAGCGAGGGCCTTTTCAGTGGCAGCCCCACATTTGTGGAACAAACTTCCCCAAGGAGGTGCAACTGTCCCCCACACTCTCAATCATTAGGAGGCAGCTGTGGACAGTATTGTGCATGATGGCATTTGATTTTAACTAGTGTTTTTTTAGGTATTCTGTGTATCTTATTGTGATTTACAATGTAAGCTGCCTTGATGAGTTCCTGTAAGGTAGAAAGGTGGCTGATAACCGTTTTAAATAAATAAATATAGCCATTTAGACAGGATGCTAGTCTCTGTTGGCAGATAATTTTGTCCTGTGTAACCCCTACTGGATCCTAGGGGTGTCTTCATCCATGACAAAACTGATTCGCTTATCCAGAATATATTTTCAGAGAGACAGGGACACAGGATAAGCGTGACTGAGCCCACTGCAAAGTCTTTTCTAGAAGAATGAGTTCCTACTCCAGATTCACTATTATGACCATAGTTTGATTTCTTCTTGAAAAAGTCACTCTGCTCTCGAAAATATCCTGCAACAAGTTCACTCGTTAAAAATTGCTGGAGTCCCCCTTGAGCTCTCGTGTGTGTGTTTTGAAACCCAAATACACTGTTGGTGACTTAGAGTCGTTTTCTCCCTCTTTTGTCACTAGTAACAGTCTCTGGGAAGGCTTCTGAAATATTTTGAATACACATTTCTGAGGAGATGTGTGTGTGTGTGATTGTTCCCTATGCAACATTTGCGTGCATCTTAAAACATGGACTTTTACATGGCCCCATGGCTCGAGAGATGTGAAATTCCCAGAAATATTAAAACCATGGGGGGGGGGATTTTTTGTTGGGGGACACACAAAAACCTTGAAATTTTGGGAACAAATTGAAATATACATAATGCTTGTTTTCCTATTTTCCTGCTTTAACAACATAACCTGTAAAATCATACTAATTTACATATATGTGGAATTTAAAAGCATAAATGCCCAATAGTGCAGTCATAAGCAGTCACCTTCTTCTAAGCCTGTTGACTTCAATGAGAAGATACTAACAATGCGAGTAGTCTTCCCATAAACTAAAAGAATCAGTAGAATCCAGTGGTACATGCATTGAGAGGATCACTTTATGCTCTAAGGACCAAAGTACATGTGAGTAACTACCTCTGCTCACAGAACCCCAACATCTAATTTGATCTAAAAAAAACCCCACAGCAGTTGTGGGGTGGGGGTGGGAGTTGGCACTGTCTCAGGCATAATATGGATTTTTGTCTGTTTTCTTAACATTTACATTTCTCTGGTGCTTCTTAACAAAGCAGCTCAAAGTGGCCCACAGCACAAATAACACAGTATAAAACAATCAATACCAATTAAAACGACTAAAACTTAGCCAATCAAAACAACCCAGGTTAGCAACAGTGGACTTAACTGCATTTGTATTTCCCTCGCTTTTGTGTTCCTGTTGCTTGGGGGGAGGGTTCCGTTCTGCATATGTCTTGCTCCCTCTAGTGGTCAATTCTATATTACATTGTGATATGTCTGGCATATCTCCCTGCAGATTTAAACTGCAGGTTTTTATGCCAGACATGAAACAATGTAATATCAATTCGACCACTAGAGAGAGGAAAACACACATGGAAAAGGAACAGAAATGAAGCAATAGGAACACAGAAACAAGGAAAATGAGAATGCGGAAAAGCCCAGTAAAAGGCTGAAAGCAGTTCAGTGGGGGCATTGTCATTTGGTGAAAAGGATACAGAGAAGAAGGGCTAAAGACTCCCCCCCCCAAGCTTTGTGTCTGTGATGGGACCCTCCAATGTGTAATACTAAAGAAACCAGGATTGTCTGTAGTTAGGCTTGGAGGATGCAACATAAATAGATGATTATGAAGGGCAATTTTGGTAGGTTTGTAACTGAGTGTCTTTTTCCTTTGACTGGTACAGAAGAGCTTCTGCGTACTGACCAAAAAGTTGGTCCCATGACTCCAAAGAGGTTTTCATCATGTCATAGCAAGACTAAACTTGTACCGTCTCAGAATCCTAAATCAAATCACTTGGAAGTTCCCTCCATCAACACTGAACCAGACCGTATGCATCTAAGTTATATTAAAATGGAAGAGGTCGGAAAGAGATACAGAGAAGTGAGACGGCAGCTAAAGGTACTGTCTTTCTTTGGCACAAGTTTATATTCTCTCTATCTATGGGGGGGGGGGAGACCCAACTCTTCTATAATTAGCCACATGTCTCAGTTCTAAAGCATGCACAGTTCCAGTTGGGATGAGACCATAATGCAGGGGAAGAGGGGGTTTCTTGCCCCCCCCCCCGGTATAGGTTTCCTGACCCAAAATGGCCTTAGGGGGACTATTTGCTCCACTGGGAAGCTGCGAGTGATAATCTTGGATGACAGTCATGTTCCCAGCACCCACACCATGCACAGCACTACTCAGAGATCCATGGTATTCTGCTGTGTAGGCCACTGACATATCCTGCAGTAGATGACTACTGCTGCTGCATCAAAGCTATGTGACTGATACAAGTCAGTGTTCATTCTTATAGGTACTCATAAATTTGTTTGGGTCCCCCCCCCCCCAATGGAGACTCCTTCATGGCACCAGAAAACCATATTTTACAACTGGGGATTTTGTAACTATGTCGTGTGTTGTATAACTAAGAAGATGTTGTCTTGTGTTGCAGAGAAAGATAACCCCCTTAGAATGGGCAGAAAATTGTCGAGTGGTGAAGTCTGGGGACCCAGTTGTGGATGCTCATTGCATGCCAAGCACTGTCAAGGGTGACATGGGAGAACTGGTGGACCAGCATCGGATGGCTTCCCACCTGGCCTGGTTTCAGTGTGTCAAGCTTTGTGAACAATATGGAATTCCACTTACTGAAAAACTGCTGCAAAGGGGTACAGTAAAACCAGGGGATTGCAATGGGGATTGATGCATGTCCTCAAAACAGTATAATCTGAATTCTCCTTCGTGCCCCAAATGCACAGATTCAGGATAATTCAGAATGCACTGGAAGCCCCGGGCTGGCAACAGCAAAATCTGCAGTCAGAAATCAACAGCAAAGAATTTGTTGATTATTGTGGGCAGTGGATCTGGTACAGGTGGGAGGGCTGTTGGCTATAAATAAAACTGTCAGCTGTGTGACTGTGATTCTCCCCAAATGTAGAATGGGGCATATGGAATGCAACTCAGTCTCCTGATAATCTCAGTTTACATTTAAAAGGTACAATAGGTTTTTAGTCCTCATGCCAATAAAGGCATTCTTCCAAGGCAGTGCATGAAAAGGTGCTGTGAGTTAGGAAGGTTGGGGTGGGAAGAGGCTTATTGTAAGCTTCTGTTACCTTTGCCTAAGTAATTTGTGCACTGCTAACCCCTTGCTGCGGTGGCTCAAGTGGTTAAGACGCTGAACTGCAGGCTGTGAAAGGTCGGTAGTTCAGCAGTTCGAGACCCGGGTGCCGCATGATGGAGTGAGCTACCGTCTAGTTCCAGCTCCTGCCAACCTAGCAGTTCGAAAGCAAGAAATTGCAAGTAGATAAATAGGTACCACTTCAGTGGGAAGGTAACAGCGTTCCGTGCTCCTTGGTGTTTAGTCATGCCGGCCACATGACCACGGAAACGTCTTTGGACAGCGCTGGTTCTTCGGCTTTGAAACGGAGATGAGCACCGCAACCCTAGAGTCGGATTCGACTGGCTTTCGAGCAAGGGAACCTTTACCTTTACCTAACCCTTTGCCTGTCTGTAAGCACAAAAACTGGAACTTTTTCTAACAGAGAGAATAGAAGGAAGGAAACAAAAATGACAGAGAAATAAAAACAGGAATGAAGGAATAAATCAGAGAAAGATAATACTCCTCTTAATGTTTAATGTTTCTTTTTGTCCTCTTTTCTCTATTTATTTTTAGGGAACAGTCTGTCTCCTTATTAAACCCAGTTATTTTCAACTGCACAAAAATACAGGGTTGGATTGCACAGATCCATTTCAGTAACAGTGGCACTCTTTCGGTACAAGGAGCCTTTGAACGAAAGGAAGGCTCCTTACACTGGAGGAAAATGCCAAAGTTAGTGTAACAGAACTGTGAGATCCAACCCATAGTTCCCGCTGCACAGTTCTTTTTTTCCAGTTGCACTTTAGAATACTCTCTGGAGGGGGTGAGATAACTGGACAGGTTGTCACCCTGATGAGCAATTGCTGTCAATTCTTAATTCAGATAAACATTTTATTTAGTGTAATTATGCTACAGATGAAAGCCATTGCTTGTTGGACTCTGTCAGACAACCTGATTATTTTGGTTTCAACGACCGGGTGACTGATCACATGCCAATGATCAAATGGTTTCAACGTCCCCAAGATATTTTGGATCACTGAAGTTGTAGTGGTTCAGAGTTCTGCTGTATAACACTTTGTGTTCTGTGACAACTGTCTGATTCTGTTTTTTTGTTTTTATTTGTTCTCTGTCCAAAAGCTCTTCTTTACCCAGGGGATAAATTATTAGATTATGGGGGTACCAGGCAAAAGATAAGACAGCCAGGAGGCTATTATGAAGTTTGTGACCAACAAGAATCAGTGAGTGAGACAATGAGTGAATTGCAAGAACAGCTAAAAAGCCCTCCCAAGGAAAAAGAAAGGTTTGTTCTTCCTATATTTTTAACAGCACAAGAATCTCAGGAATTCTCTGTCTGGAATATCATTACTATAACCAAAAACTTCTTTATTATTCTTGGGTTTCGCACAGATCATCATTGGGAACCTTCTAGAACAGAAACTTTAAACTTGGCATGAAAGTTTCTTCCCCTCAGGACCCCAGGAAAGGCAGGGCTGGCACTGTCCCATTCAGTTCTCTTTTGCCCATTGTGAAGAACTTTTTCTCAGAGAAATCTAGCCTTCAGTCTTTTGTCTTGCCCCCTTTTCTTCTCACTTTTTGGTTCATTGACTGTAACACTCACTGTGTCCTACTCTGTCCTAACTGGAATTTTTTTTTCTTCATAGCTTCTTCTCCCCTTTGTTGTGGTAGGTATCTCTGGCACAAAAGCATACTTTCAAAATTGTTGGAGATCTGGCAATAAGTTGCCAGTTTTGTCTGGAAAAAGAGCACAAAGTATATGTGCTCAGTAGTGTCTCAACAAAGGGTGATACATGTAGCTGTCCCTCCTTGATATCACTATGTGTTCCACCCCATCTCCTCACCAACACCCTACCCCTGGAGCAGTTAATACTCCTTCCCTCCAAGTTCCTATTGTTTAAACAGTTTTTTAATCCCTCATCTGGCCTGCACAACATATTCAGGTCAAGTGCCTCTGCAAGATGCCATGTCATCTGTTGTGTAGAACAACCTGCCCTCTTCAGTTACCACAGCTGCTTGGGAACTAGTCAAGATAGAGGCCTACTTTGGGGTTCTCATTGGGCACGTTATGCTCCATACAGCTGAGACAGAAGCAGCCTGTACTCCACTGGCTTAATAGTGGTAAAAATGGTTGTTTTTAAGCATAAAGTTTTGAGTTGATATCCATTGGCTGTGGAGAAGCTGAGTATGAAAATAATCACTAATCAGTACATTCAAAATATTCACAGAACACACCAAGTGAATATGTTTTTTACAAATCTGCAAAAGCTTTATCCAATATTAAAGTGCATATGACCACAAAGTACAAAACCAAATGTGGAAATGATTGAAGATGGTGTGTGTGTGTGTGTGTGTTAGTTAATTTCATGGCGTTCCCTCAGGATTATAAGATTATGCATGGGAAAGAGCAGGTAGAGAAAGAGGTACTTTTCTCCCTTTCTCACAATACAAGAACTCGTGGGCACTCCATGAAATTGCTGAGCGGTCGGGTTAGAACGGATAAAAGGAAGTACTTTTTCACCCAAAGAGTGATTAACACATGGAATTCACTGCCACAGGAAGTGGTGGCGGCTACAAGCATGGACGGCTTCAAAAGGGAATTAGATAAACATATGGAGCAGAGGTCCATCAGTGGCTATTAGCCACAAGGTATAGATAGGGGCTCTGGGGCAAGTGATGCTCTGTCTTCTTGGTGCTTGGGGGGGGTCAACAGTGGGAGGGCTTCTAATGTCCTGGCCCCACTGGTGAACCTCCTCATGACACTGGTATTTCTGGCCACTGTGTGACACAGAGTGTTGGACTGGATGGGCCTTTGGCCTGATCCAACATTGGCGTCTCTTATGTTCTTATGATGTGCCTAAAAGTCACAAACTGTTAAACAGTCCTTGGCATTCACAGAAGACATGCTACAAGATGACACAATCCAATCTGAAAGTCAGTTCCAGTGATATCTTCACGCGATGGCTAGCTGAAGATGTCATTGGAACCAACTTTCAGGTTGGATTGTGTCATCTTGTAGCGTGTCCTCTGTGAACACCAAGGACTGCTTAACAATTTGTGAGTCTTAGGCATATCCTGACGGGATGCCATGTAATTTTTATATATATACATACACACACAGTGTCTTTAATCAGTTCCACATTTGGTTTTGTACTTTGTGGTCATATGCACTTTAATATTGGATAAAGCTTTTGCAGATTTGTAAAAAAACATATTTGCTTGGTGTGTTTTGTGAATATTTTGAATGTACTGATGAGTGATTATTTTCATACACAGTTTCTGCTTTGTGGATAATTTGTACTGTGTTTTGTGGAGAAGCTGAGGCCTGAACCTTTAGAAAAGACCTTTTGTGGACAATATGTCTGTCAATGTCAGCCAAAATAATTAAGTGACACACTGTTTGGAGGGGGTGGTTATATGAAGAAAGTGATATTTGCCCTGTGGGTGGCTGAACATGTACTGATGGGCTATACATGCAGAAGAAGAAGATAAGGTTTTTATACCCCATTTTTCTCTACCTTGAGTCTCAAAGCAGCTCACTGGCCCCGGTCACACGACAAAGTTGCCATGGGAGAGGCACGGATGGTGGGTGGATTATCTGGGCGCGATCACACCCCAACATCTGGGAAGTGGAGCGCACCTGTGGCTTACCACCGACAATGCGCATTGAAAAACTAGTACCTCCAAGGTACTAGTAAACGTTTGCCACGGGCTGCCTCCAGACGCCCGTGGTGTGATCACGCCAGCGCGCAGCTTTTCCCTCTGTTTCCTTGTTTACCCGCCAGTGCTGAGGGAAGGACCCGTGGTGTGCCACCGGCGCGTCTGATCGCATAATCGCGGATCAAACTGCGCCAGGGCAATTAGCCACGCCTCTCCCCCCGTGATATCTGGCCCGTGTGACCAGGGCCACAGTGACTTTTTCCTTCCTCTCCCCATAATAGACACCTTGTGAGGTAGGTGGGGCTGAGAGAACTGTGGCTGGCCCAAGGTCACCCAGCAGGCTTCATGTGGAGGAGGACTGGAAAATCAAACCCAGTTCTCCAGGTTAGAGTCCACCGCTTTTAACCACTGTACCATGTTGGCTCTCAAAGTACCAGTGGGACAAATGGAACCCCCTGGATCCAACTGCGGTTGGGCAAACAGCTCAGGAGAGAAGGCAGGAGCCTCTTCTCCATGCGCTCTGCACTTCCCATCCAACTCAGGGCCTCACACACTGGAGAATTGAATTCCAATGAGGAACCCACAGCTGACATCTGACAGTAATTCCCTGTTGTGGTCACTGTCAGCATAACATGTAGTTTGACCTTTAGAGACAGAATGCTGAGCAAAACAGACCTTGGTCATTTCTTATGATGTTAGATCGCCGCCACATTGATGTGTTCTTATGTGCAAGGGCTCTTGTTGGCTGCTGCTTTGTCCTGGTACCAACACGTGCCTTGCATCTAATCATTTCCTCGGCCTCTTTTATTATTTTTCTTGTTTGAGCTGCATTGTTGCTCTGTAAGTATTACAGACTCAGTCTTAGGTGCTGTCATCATAAGTGGCTTCACCATGATTGATTTAGGTAAACGACTGGTTTTTTTTTTTCCTTCTTCCCCAGAGAACAGCAGCCAAAGCCTAAAAAGCGAGAGCGTCAGGAAAAGCCCATATGGGGCCGCTGGAGGTCCTACTCGGAGTTTAGGAACCTAATGAAGTATGTGTTAAATTTGGTAGAAAATGAGTGATTGGCCCAGATCTTCCAAGGTCTGGAGGTAGACCTCTGTCACTGAGTTATTTTAACATCACTGACTTGTTGGTCCTATTGAATTGCCCTGATAGGTCAGCAAGGGCTGGAGACACAGATGCTCACATCTGCATTTGAAAAGGCATGCACATCTAACACTGGAAGGCTGTTAAAGGTATACACACATGTGTATATGTCCCAAGGGGGGGGGAAATGTGCAACGTCTGACATTTTGGCAGAAATAAAGCTAAGGCTGCACTCCTAAGACTACTTTGCTGGGAGTAAGTCCCACTGAATAAAATGGAAGTTATTTCTGAGTATATGTGCTTAGGATTGCTTCCTTTAGTATGTTAATTTCCCCATAGCTCGTTTTCATCGGTGCCTTTAAAATATCACAATGGAATCAAAGGGCAAAGATTTATGGTCGCGGTAAGTTTTTCTTTCACTAGTTCCTCTCATGCCAGCCACAGACTTCCTGGCCTGCTGTTCCAGAGTGACTTTTCAGGAGGCACAAGGGAAGATCAGTCACACACACACACACACACACACACACACACACACACACACCATGCCACACAGACCAGTAGAAGTGTCTAGCTTTGGCAAGACTCAGTTTAAAGGGTCCTGAGTCACAGCCCTGAGAAATACCTCTGTCTGGGGCCTTCTAGAGCCCCTACTATTCAGAATCGACTGCAAGGAAGCTAGAGGAGGGTCCAGGTGCGCCCCCTCCCAGTGCTACATATACCTGTAGGGATGCCAGCCTCCAGGTGGGACCTGGGGATGCCCTAGAATTACAGCTCATCTCCAGACTACAGAGATCAATTCCCCTGGAGAAAACGGATGCTTTGGTGGGTTGGATTCTATGGCATCGTACCCCCACTGAGGTCCCTGCCCTCCCCAGGCTCCATCCCCAAATCTCCAGGAATTACTCAACCTGGAGCTGGCAACCTTATCCCCCCCTCCTCTGCTGGGGTGGTGGTGGGCCTGGCAACCCTATATACCTGTGAACGTGTTGATATGCTGGCAAACACAGTGGGGGAGGAGGGGGAAATGAGGGTTAACACTTGGCCAGGCACACCTGGAATAACCCAAAGCTTGGCGGCTCTGCTAGCATCTCAGGGACTTGACTGATTGGCTCTGCAGGTCTGGGAGGCGATGCCAGACATAAGGCCCGCCTGCTGCCTTCTCCTGTGCCTTTGGCCCCAGCAGTGCTGCCAGCACCTCAATTGTTTTAGCAGAGACCTGGCCCTGGGTGCCAAGAGGGATAAGCCCGGTAGGCAGCTGTTAGCACACATGTGGAAGCTTGCCTAGCCCTGAGGCAGAGAAATCCATAGTCCATATGGGGCAGGCTCATAAGTTTTAAAGCTAAATCTCGATACGATTTGGCTGCGCTATCCTCAGTAGTTTCATTGGTATGAAGAGCATGCATGTTTGTGTTTATATATGCAAGTGTATATGCTATGAGTAGAAGATAGTGCTAGCTGCAAGGTTAAATTTGTTTCTGGTAAGAAGTGTTCCAGGCATATCCAGAAGTTGGGTCCAAGACCACACACTGCTTGGCCAATTGGCTAGGCCCCCAGCTTCCTCTGATTTCATTTTTCTAATGTTTCTGTTTACAGACGGCACTCGAAAAGGCTGCGGCTGGCTGCACAAAATCTTTGGAATGGAGAGGCCTCTGACAGTTTGACTAGCCAGTCACAAATAGAGTTTGAAAACCGATTCATTGAAAGGTACAGTGCATTATTTCTTTCTAGTGCAGTGGTAAAACCTTCCTATGCTATTGTGCCTGAAATATCTTTAATATGATTTTGCT